TTTGTGCTCCCATTCATCAAAGCTTCATCTAATTTTATTTTTAAGCTCGTAATTATCCAACACTCTCAGATAATTGCATTAATGACTCATTAAAGAACAGTACTGAACTTCAGTACCTGAAAGAAAATTCAAGCTTGACCACAAGCCTGTAAGGAAATTACTTTCTTTTCATGACACGCTCTAAAGCATTGCAAAGAAGTTAAATTGACACTAGGAGCCCTTTGTGGAGAGAAGCACAGGTTCAAGGGAGCTCATAGATCTCTGCTGGTTTCAGGTAAGGCAGGGATCTATCCTCCAAATGTAAGTCACAGAAACAGTAAGACACACAGAATATTGATAGACCAGCACACAGTTTGTGACCAAAGCATTTTGCTCAACTGAATTTATTATCAATCCAAGCTTTAAAGAATCTTCTTGTGTACTTTTTAATGTATCTTCAAAATTAGGCTACGTGTTTCATGAGGTTGCCAAAGTAAATTAGATAACGAATATTCACCAAATTCCACATGTAACTTGGAGAGCTTTAGAATTTTTTACCTAGGCTGTTGAATCTTAAGTACTAATAAAATACAGTCCACATCACCAGGACAGTACAGTGAAAAATAACAGAAGTGGCAACATATTATATGTAAATAGCACCTTCTGTCAAAAGGCAAAGACATTTTAGGAATAGATGTTAAATGAAGTGACACTTTAGTTCCATTACTCACACTTAGCAAATGAGAAAAACAGGCACAGATAATTCAAGCTGTCTGAGAAACGTAATACACAAAGCCATTAGCAGAAACAACACAATATAGATTCCAAGGGCTTCTTTCCCTGGTGTTTGCAAAAAAAAAAAAAAAAAAGGAGATGCTTTGACTTAAAACTACAAGTCAATTTTAGCCTGTTCAGTATACCTGTGAACTTGCACCTGTTAAGTGAAGCCAAAGGCATATTAAGGTAGTTTATCAGGATTAATACTATCATCACACTTCAAAAGAGAAATAAGGCAGGGAGGGGCATATAACAGAAAAGCTCCATGCTCTGCTGCTTTATTCTTCTTACACTTGGCTCAAGTAACTGCCATCAACTTCAGCTCACATAACTCTGGTCGTGCCAAAGAGCTGCTCCTGGATTCATCTGAGTTCACAATCATATCAAAATACTCCAAAAAGCATTCAATATGGTACAGCTTCTCAGGCTGGCACCATCAATTTTTTCACTGGCATGATACTCCTACTTTCTGGCAATGCTTAAGGAGCGCTGGTTATGAAGCAGTTGCACACGCAAAGATATGCCTGTATGACTCAAAAAAGAGAGAGCCCACCACAGAAATTCTTCTCTTTTAAAACAGCGAAGTTCTTGGTATTTATGACTTGTTTTGCTCTGGTATTATCTTTCCTTTAAGTAACAAATTTTAAAGCAAGTATTTTCATCTTAAAATATCACAAAAAGGGAAGGACTCAGATGACTCCAAACCAATATGTTTTTTACAAAATAATAGTGCAATGGGACTTCACACAAGCATGCCACATTTTAAGTCAGGAAAAATAAGCCATAATTTGGTCAGCTTTAGTTAACTTCACTTCAGACACAACTTAGTGGAGCTACACTAGAAATTATTGCGGTATGTCAAAGCTTGTTGGGACTTCAAACAGACTTGACACAGCTCAGTTAGATGTTAACAGGAGGATAAATCTTAGTTCAAGAGAGTTTAGGAATGGAGTAAAACCGATCAGTAAAAAGCTATATATAAATAAGAACAAGCCCTGTGGTCAGCAAAGCATAGTGTCTGTGATGGTGAGTAAGAAGACCATACGCTCTGTTCCTGAGTTTACAACAAGATCAGATGAGGATATCAAATCATGTAGTTAATAAACCAAATTCTGCTGTTAGTTGTATCACATAAAAATATGCTCACATATGTACCACACCAAAATATGCTCAGCTGCATCAGTCCATTTGAGACGACACCTTGGCCAAAACACATTTCAGTGTCACTGCAGCTGGTAAAACAGAGCACTACTGCAACTGTGTTTCCACAGCAAGAGCCATGTATTTATACTCAAATCAAGAAACCAAGCAGAAAGGTCACCATCCTCTACTAAATTCTCTGGCACTTTTCCACAAAAGTGTTATGAAAACATCCCCTTCTACATGATGTTTCTAACATTATGACATTACAGCTTGAGGTCTTGTAGTCACCTCCATGCTTAAGCAATTCCTGTACCACAGGGAATCATGCTGGTACTGTGTAGTACATGGAGATATATCTTCATTTCTTTTCTTTCATTTAATATGTATGAGTAAAATTCCAGCAAGAATACATTAAGATAATTCTTGTGCAGCGTTTAAACAAATGTTTCTGATAGTATTTAATTTGGTTTGGGAGTTTTTTCGTGGTTTTTTATTATGACAGACACCACTGGGTACCTATACAAGATCACTCAGAGGCAGGAAAAAATTATTACATGTTCCAGATGTCTGAAGGATTTTGTGTATTTTATTTACAATTCCTTTAAAATGTTCTGATCAGCTTCATTTTGTCTGCTCTCGAAGAGTAGAGTACAGGAATGTATGGAGTCTTTAACTTCTTAGAAGAAAGGCATAAGAAAAGCACAGTGTCCAAAAAAAAAGATTCCCATTTTACTCTCTTGTTTTGGTTTTATAGTTTTTATTGAACCTATTAGATCAATATTAATGAAAATTGTAATTCATCTGGCTTGCCAGCAGAAAGAAAATGAAATTTTACTTGTTCCACTGTTAATTCATTCCAGATAACTGCCCAAACCTCAGTCAGCTTCAGGTCAGAACAATATCAAGCCCAAATGCTTTTTCTTATCCTTTAAAATAATTTACAAAACATAAGTTCTTATTAAGTCTTAGAACCTCAGAAATCTTTGAAAGTGATGGGATGCTCAGAATAATCAGCAGCTTATTCTTAGCAACCAAAAAACCAAAAAGCATTTTAACAGGAAAATTTAATTACTGAAATCCGCCACTGCCCTTAGGAGGACCTATTTACAACAAATTTACTGTCCCTTACAAGTATATTGCAGTGAAAAAAAAAAAAAATCAAGCCACAAGGAAAGAGTAGGAGCTTTGTTTCTTGGGAAGATTTTTACAATTCAGATATTTTAGATAAAAGAAACTCCTATGACTGAATATGCAACTTACACAAGAAACCACACTACAACAATTCTTATAGAAAGGATAATAAATCTTATCTGTGGATAACATACATGCTTAAAAGTTTATTCTGCCAGGGTGTTGAACCTGTTATTCCATGACCTTCCTTCTCAAACCATGTACTTTAATAGAACTATTATCTATTTACAATAAATTATGATACCAGTTCTTGCACTATGACAATAGAACAGCATTTACAGCCATTTTCAATTTCAATTCCTCAACAATTTTTCAATAGATGTAAGAAACATGCTGCATAAACTTAAGCATATCGAGAAAAGGTTTTATTTCCAAGTTGCCTTACAGAGCTCCAGTACTAAGAGATTGCTCTTCATGAGTTTATAGACTGAAAGTTGAAAAATTGTTTCACTAGGAGTAAATTTGCAGTAACTACACTCACTTATGGAAGAATAATTTGCCAGATTCGCTTGAAGTACTCTGTATCTTCAGACAACAACTTCAGTCCAGAAAAAAGAGAACACAATAACAGACTTCAAATATATAAAACAATTATTAAAATTGTTGCAACAATGAAAACGTTTTAATTCCTAGCTAGAGATTCAGAGCAGAACACACTATTAACTCTAAAACCTTTGAAGAAGCTGAGCACTTTTGGGAATCTTAAGATTTGTGGAAGAGGAGGAAAGAAAACATGAGTAATCATTCAAATTGTACTACTCCTACTCCTTTGTTTCAGAGTAATGCAGTAGCTGACTGCTAGAAATCCTTTTCAGCCTTGCAGTACTTGACATCCCTACAATACTCGGCATCATCATCACACTTTTATGATTTCATTAATAAGAAAAAAAACTTGTAACTGCCCCATTAAGAGTACAAAATAATTAAATGTCAAGGCATTCTCACGACAGAAGAACCTGTTTCATAGTGCTAATACAACTAAGCTAGCTTTACTCTCATTTCAATAAAAATATATTCTGCACCTCCCTTGCTTGTTAGTAAAGGAGGATTTTTATTTTATCTTACTCCATCAGGTAGCTGCAGATACATTCATGAGACTTGCTCTATTTTTCAGCTTATCCTGTTCCATCCTGAATGTCTATGACATGGAGTTATGTAGCACACATGCAGCGCAAATCATTCCAAAAAATTATGTATAAGAATAATTTCACTACTGAGGAAATAAAGACCTTATGCCTACCACAGCCACCCAGTGTACAGTAAGGAGTGAGCACCAACGCTTTCCAGGGAAATTAATGAAGGTGGACTCCAATATCCAACTCATGCATTAGAAGGATGAGAGAGTTTCACATTCAACCCCGACTTTTTAAGAACTTATTAATGTAGTAATTACTGAAAGAAAAGCAACCTTACTGCTGCATCAGGTATGGGGCGGTTTCTCCTTCGAAACGCTCTATTCGCAGGCAAGAAAAGCAGATGTTCTAACCTGGAAGACCTCACGTCTGAGCACAGCCGGTGCCGGAGCCACGAGCATCCCTAACTCAGCCCTCAGCGCAGGGCTGGGGCAGCGCTCAGCCTTCGAGCGCTTCCCGGGAGCGGGGACCAAGCTGTCACAGACAGCGGTGCGGCCACCGGTTTTTACGCTTATACAAATGTACTAACCACCGTCACCCACGCAGAGGTGTCACGGCGCGGTCCGCCCGTCCTGGCACCGGGGCCACAGGCGGGGGAAACGCGGGACGCGCCCGCTCCCACCGCGGGACGCATCTCCCCGGGCGAGGGGCTGCTCGCCTCAGTCCCAGCCCCAGCCCGTCCAGCCGCCCCGCTCCCCTCGCGGCACGACCCTCCACACGGAGGGCTGGATCCCGCTTCAACCGGAGGGAGGGGGGATGCGGGGCAGGGGTACTCACGTGCCAGATGGCGAAGAAGATGAGGGCGGCGCAGAGCACCAGCGACAGCATGTAGCAGAAGGCGGCGAAGGTGAAGGCCATGGCGAGGAGAGCCCTCCGCGCCCCCCTTCACCTTCACTTCACCGGGAGAGAGGCGACCCCCGAGCCGCCGGCGCGGCCCCCGAGCCGCCGGCGCGGCGCAGTGCCCGGGCAGCACCGCACACGCCGCGGGGCCGGGCGAGCTCCGCGACCCCCGCAGCCGCTGCCGCTCCACCCAGCCCGCCCCGACCCCCGCAACGCCCCGCGCCTGGGACGCCCCGCCCGGCCCCTCCGCCGCGCTCCAGCCCCGCTGAGGAGCCGCGGTGGGCGGCCCCGAGGGGCGGGTCCCCTTCGTGTGGGTGCGGCGGGTAGGGGGTCGGTGGGGCGGGGGTTTCGGCGGTGCGGGGCTGGCGAGGGATTCCTGCTACCACTCGAGCAGCGGCTGCTGCCAACGCCGCGTGTTTCTGACTGAAATCCTGTCACGACAGCGTGAGAGGAAGGAGCGTAGGCTGGGATCAGTTCAGGCCAAATACTGAGAAGATAATTATATGCCTAAACTTGAAGTGCTTTGGTGGTGGTGGGGGGGGGTTGTTAATTATTGTTTTTCCTTTCACGATCAGGTAAATCCGATGAACGCACCCCAGGTCCGTGGGGAGGCCAGCGCTGGAGCGTCCATTCTCTTTTGGAGAAGGGACAGGAACCCAGCCCAAGACCTCATGAACCGCTGCAGAGTAGCTCGGCAAAGTGAAATCAGTCCACCCTTTCCCACCAGGTGAAAAAGACATTTACTGTTGGAGTAAATAAAGACAAGCCTTTCTTGAATGCCATCAACTGAGAGAGTGCTCTTGCTGGCTTTTAGGTATATGCAGTACCCAAATTGCTGAAGCACACGTTTAAAACAAGGAAGGAAGGAAAGTTCCTGCCTTCACACCTTGTCTTTAACAGCATCTGCAGTATCTCTAGACACAGCTTAGTCATTTCTACAAAAGATCTATTTTAGATTTACTATCATAAGTTTTTCCACTTCTTTGGAGTGCATCAGCTGACACAATACAACAGGTTTGCAAGCAAAAAGTTTTCATGAGAAAATGCCACAGAACCATCAGAAGTCCCATTTAAAAATATTTTTAAAAACCATAGATGAAAGCTATTTGAAACATCCTTACAAAACTGAAAAAGAGTTTCAGCTCGCAGCATTTGTTCTATTGTTTTATGGATTGAAGGGGGTTCAGTAACAAAACTATGTAGAAATTTGCCAGTGGTTACCTGTGAAAGTCAGACTTCATGGAACAAGAGATTGTAATTCAATCAAAGCCAAGTCCAATGGAAGCTTTCTTTTGAAATGTTTACAATATATTCTTGTTTAAAAGTATGATATATGAGACTGGATGTGGCAGTTACTGCCATAGTCTAGTAACTACGGTGGTGGTGGATTAAGGGTTGGACTTGATGATCTCAGAGGTCTTTTCCAACCTGGCTGATTCTATGATTCTATGATATTATTTTTAACATTAATATGCACTTTTATCCTGAGGAAAGAGTGCTGATTTGAATCAAGAATCAAGACCAGTAATTAATAAACCAATCAGGACTAAACTGATGGATCTAACCTTTCATAATTGAGCTGCTCCAGACTGTACATGTGAACTGATGCTTTAATTAAGGACAGAACATAGCAAGTAGTAATGAGCTTTGTGTCATACAGGGGTGCAGTAAACCCATTGTAATTCTCTGACCTTTTAATTTTTTTGTATCTGAAATCCTGAAATCAGAGCATATGTTTGTGGAAGTAAATGGTTTATTCAAAACCACACATTTTGAAAAGAGTAGTAAATGAGGTACAGGAATCATGCTTGGAAGTATTTACTTATTTTGCCACAGTTACTGGATATATATTGCCTGTGTTAAGATTCAACACAGGAAAAACCGATGCTTCTAAGAAAATGAAAATAAAACATTTCTTTCTGGAGCACTTTTAAGTATACACCTGCACATATATGCACATGTATGAAAAATATAAATATACCTACCATAAAAGAAGTGGAAACAACCATTAAATCTCAGCACAACATTCCAAGGTAAATATTCTGCTGTTTTTCACTGTCTTCTCACCTTTATTTATATTCCAGCTATGTAGTTGGAGCTCTTCATCGAACACACAGGCAAAATATTTATTTTTCATTTTGCAAGACAGTTCCACAGCCAAAGACTTCCAGGATCACACAGTCTTTCCTGGTACTGATTTTGAAACACACATTGCCCCTGGCCATATTGCTAGCCATTAATCAATGTCAAATTCAGAAGTTTCTGAATGTCAAATTCTGTCAAATTACAGAAGTTTCTGACATACAGTGAAAGGAAAAAATCTATAAAGCTGCATTTAGACACTTTTGTCTTACTGAGTTCTTCTTACATAATACCGTGAGAATACCTTAAGTATCCTCAGATGTTTAAGTGATGGAGAGTGATGGAAAGATACACCCTTCCTTCAGTGCATCTCTGATTTGTACTCAGAGATTTATCTGAGTAATCACTAAAAAGTCTTCCTTATCTCCATCTCGTTCCAAACTCATTACAGCTCTCTGTGGTATGAGGACCTCACATCAGGGAGCTGTTCCTTTGTCATTTATGAGTGAGGCTACTGCAAATCACGAAGCAAAAGGCAAAAATAATATGGATGTGCCTGACTCTTTTCTCCCTGGTTTACACTCCTGTGAACACAGCAGGAACACCAGTCTATCTATTAGCTCCCCATCTACTTCCATGGTCTTGGTCCTAACCTCCACATAAACTAATGGATCTGACCCTGGCTGCATGAGAAATTACAGTCCAGCACCCAGCTATGCTCCTTTGAAATAATGTATATCACAGAGATCAGGGTGGAGGGTGTGGGAGCTGAGGATGCAGCATTATCCACTGAAGAGATCTGGAATAAGCAAACCAGACAAATACAGAGTATAGGATATAGATTTTATGCATAAAACCTATTTTTTTTTCCTTTAGGAAAAACTGTTGCTTTCAAAAATTGTTATTTTAACACTTCTTTTCCCCAAATAAACAAGATTACATCCACACGTTGAGACTCACATTGATTTCTTTCTTATTACTGGAAATAAAAGGCTCAGAGGATCTGCAGCAGTCTGTTAGGCAATGCAGTAATCTTTGCTCTCTGGTGTTCAGGTGCTCATTTTAACAGCCACAGTCTCAGATTTAGCACTTCATTTTTCACTCTTTTGTGTTCAAAATCTCACAAATGCTCTTGCTTCCTCCATACAAGGAGGTATTCCCAAGCCATTTCCAGAAGGGACTGCTGTTCTGACTCCATGGCACACACCTGCAACCTGGGAATGCAACAGCAAAAATTAGTCAGAAAGCTGGACCATGAGATAAATTGCAGACAAAGTAGAAAGTCAGTAAGAAATGAAAACTAAATTATGTACAGATTGATTAAAAAGTGGTTTGTAGCCTCTCCTTTCATCTTTAACCAGGGGCTATTCCTTTTAAATGTATTTGTTGATGAGTCACATAAGGTACTTCAAGTTTAATAACACTTCCTAGCACAAGTTTTTACATGAACTTGTTTTGTGGGCTGTATCCCACAGTACCTACAAGCAGATCATGACAGTGTGTAAAACCTGTGGAGAAAGGCGTTTTACAAAAAACTGTAAGGGGCCTCACTCTCCTTGCACAGATGAAGTTTTGTAATGCTACAGCTATCACTGTTTGGATTTGGTACTGGGGAACAGTAAAGAGTTTGTCTTTACCATGCATATTTATTGGAAAATATGACTGTAATGGTACAGTCTGCTCCCAATTTCACAGAGAGTCATCACAAGAGGATAGGTGGTGGTGCTGCTTTTGTACAAGCAGTACTGAGATGCTGATTTTCAAAGCTATCGTTATTCAACTATGATCATAGGGCAAAACACTAACATGATTTGGGATTTCTTCACTCAAGATGGCTTTTGGGGGGGGGACCAGAAAAATTCAGTCACTAGTAGTAACAACAGAGTTCATCTGGTGAGCAACAGACCACTCAAAACCAAACAACATCCGATCGTGAAAATAGATTGTGAAAACAGATTTAAAAGATTCACGAGTTCAGGATGTCTTTACATTAGCAGGTGTCGGAGCACTTGATTTTATGGGAAATGACCTTTTGTGCTAGATAATGAAAGAATTTGAAGGCACCGAAAGAAATTTCCAGTGGCTAATTTATAGAACAGCATCAGAGAGGAGAAGGGACTGCTAATGAGTCCTTTCAACTCCCAAATAATTACCTCAACTGTATAAACCTAAAGGACAAGTCTTTAAAAGGCCAGTAGTCCCTAAAGTGAGAGGCTAAAATCACCATAAATCCACCAACAAGGTGATGATACACCCTTAGCCAAGGTGGTTCATAGTTTTAGGATTCCTATATTATTGTTACAATATATAGTTTTAAGTGTAACACATTACTGAGTAAAAGCCTGCTAGACTAAAAGGCATTACATTAATTATAGGAGAGAACTGTCACTCATAGATTAAGTATTTTTAATAATACATCTGACTCCCTCTTTTGTGAACCTTAAGTAATAATGAATTATTAACAATGCTTATATACAAATTGCCATCATTGGGCTTTACTGCTAATATCCCACAGAGATTAATAGAAGCATTTCATAGTCTTATGCATTATTATTTCAGATTATCTGCAGATTCCAGATGAAATGATTCTATTACTGCGTGGTCAGTTCACTTTCAAAAGGTTACCTTTGCAATAATAAAGGCAAGGGACATTTTGTTAATGAAGCCTTGTTTTCAGATACCAGGAATGTGATAGTTCACAAACCCACTGACAATAATCTCATTTTACTGCCAGCTGTTCCCACCTTCTTTTGTAGGATCTGGATGAATAAATTTTAACTACATTATCACAGGATCATAGGAAAGTTTATGTCGAAAGGGACCTCAGGAGTCTCTAGTGTGACCTCCTGCTCAAATCAGTGCCAAGGCAAGGTCAGACTTGTTGCCCAGGGCTTCATCTGGTCAAGTCTTGAAAACCTCCAAGGAAGAGGGATGGCCCAGCCTCTCTGGGCAGCCTATTCCCACTGCTTGTCTCAGGTCATCTTCAGCTGGATAGGTTCCAGCCTATATAATTTCCAGGGCTTATTCCTTCCTTAGTACACATTCACCCCTGTTCTAGTTTTTAAGGTTCCTGTCAGTCTATAATCTCCATATTTAAATATTGAAATCCACTTGCAAAAGCATAGATTAATATGTAATGTAGAAATGTTCCTAAATAGCAAAATAAGACTCTTCGGAGCATGACACTTTGTAGTGCTTTGCTTCTACTATTCACTTGCCAACCAATATCAGAATTACACACTGTCACACTCATGTCCATCATGGCCACTGGCAAAACTGGACCTTGAGACTTGCAGCTCAGATCACTCACCTGAACTGAGCTATCTCAGTAACTGTTCTGTCCCATGCTTTGATTACCACGGAGGCACAACACACATTTTGACCCTGCACGTTACTGATAACTTGCTAGCAAACAGAACAGTGTTTGTCATCAGGTTATCTGTGACTTTTTGCATTACCTGCAGCGTTAGTGGACCAATTTTGTGAGCACAGATACCACTGCACCTCTTAATTCCTAAGCTGTGGTTCTCTGCTCTATTGCTCCAGCTTCCTCTGCCCCTCTACCAAACAGTTCTTTCCCATTAGCCTGTCCTTCCCTTATCTTCTTGCTAGTTTACACTCTCAGCACGGTCCATCTACTGCCTCCCACTTCCTTAACTCCTCCAAATTCAACTTGTATCTTCTAGGAGTTCATCAAGACTGCTTCCTCACCAGTGCTGAAATGTCTGACAGGATCCTAAGCACTCCAGAAAGACAGGATCTCTGCTCTTAGTTCCAGGACAGAGTAGCAAAAAGCAGTTGAAAAAGCAATTGCAGGGGAGGTCCTGCTTTAAAGTGAAATGGAATGGGGAAAGGATTTGCTTGATTCCAATAGTTCTCTAATAATTTTCGGAAGGATTAGAATTAGCCAAAGACCCTAATTATTTATGGCAGCAGCAGAATTCATGTTCATCTTTCAGAGGTTATGTCCTTCCAGATGTGAAGTCCTTCCAATAAATGCATGAAAGGCAGGAGTCTTCCATAAACTAGTAATAAGATTTTTGGCACTGGTGAAATAACACATCTACTTTTTTTTTTTTTTTCCAAAAAATATTTTTTTGAACTGTTCATGATCCTTAGTCTGGAGAGAAAGCACAAAATAAAAATGAGAGCCAGTGTAGGGAATAGAAAGTAAGGCCTTAACATATATCTGAACCACTCTTAATTGCCTCTGACATTACCTAATATCCTTCAAATCAATACATGGAAACTATACACAAGGAATGCTTGCTAACATTACTTAATCCTGCCAAGAAGGAATTTAATTTGTGTCTGTGCTGGGGAGAGAGTGGGTTACAACTTTATCAATTCTGAATAACTGAATTCCATCAAAGGAATGAAAGAGGAATATCAAATTTTTGGAATAAGTAACCTATGAAAAATCCTTCATCAGCCACTGAAGGTCCTGCAGAGCTAGTTATGCTAATAAGAAAAATTTCATAAAATATGCATTTGTCCAAACACTGAAATAACATTCTGAGCCAAATTCCTCAGATTTTAAAGATGTTTCATTTTTTCCTACCCCAGAGCCTGTAATATTCTGCTAATCTACAAGCCCTGCTGGTTCTCCCCACACCTTATGGCTCCATCATTCTGAACAGAGATGCCAGAACAAAGACAAATATGTAATGCCCTTCAACAGTTCTCCTTCTCAGGGGATGATTAAATTCTCTCATATGAAACTAAATGCTCCTCCTCTTTGTCTCTTTGTACTGAGACTGATACTGAATGCTCATCCCTGCTGTCCCAAAAAAAACAATTTGGTGCAGTAAATCTAGACCTGGTGTCTTTGCTATGGTTTAGGAAAAAATCAGTATTTCACCAAACTGACATACGTGTTCTAACTGAATTAATGGTCTTAGTCATTTTTAACTTGCACACACAAATGAATAGTTTCAATATGGTCTGCATAAATAACAGTGTTGACTAATACATACATAAACATACTTTTATGGTTGTATTTATTCAATAAAGTTGGTTTTGAGGCAGTTTCATGAGAGGTGGGCACACCTGTGATGTGAAAGGAAGGAGAGGCCACGCAGACATATAGCAGCATGTTCTGCAGCAACAGTAGCAATGGATTGGTTCCTGTCAGCTCAGGACCCTTATTACACTGCCTCCTTGTCCTCAAACTTGATAAATTAGTATCAGGTTTGATTTACCTCTGTTTAAAGGGAAAAAATCACTTGCTGCAAAAAATTACTTGTATTATTAGCACATCAATAACAGAACTCTATCAAACACTGAATTTAGGTAAAGACTGTCCAAACTGATCCCCTGAGCTTTTGTAACTTCGAAACATATTTCTCATATTAAAGCGGAGAAAATAAAAACTCTATAAATAGGGGTATTTTTAACTGTAGGAGTAAAACTAATGATTATAGCACTCTGTATCACTTAGAATTTCTAGTCACTTCAGTTAAAGTCTCTTATAAAAACTATTTTAGCATCTGACAACAATACTGAAGAATTCATATTGTAAATTGGAAAAATACCAGAAGAAAAGGTTGGAGGTGGTAATGGAGGAGTAGGAACATGTTTAGCAAGAAATCTCATGAGAACGCTGTTCTGGAAGATCATTCCTATTCTAAATATAAATCTTTAATACATTACCCATCCTGGCTTTAACATCATATAAAATATTTCCAGTTTGAAGCAGAACCAGCAAGACAAGGTCATTCTCTGCAATTTCCCCATCTCTTACAAAGAGCAGAAGGTTTGCAATTCTGGTTGGAGGTTCTAGTGCATTTTGTACCACAAGTATCTTAATTTGTGTTCTGCATGTGAGGAAGAACATCTTTATTGTGTGAGTTACCACGCACCTGGCCTATTCTGTGATTCTCTGATCCTTTTTCTTCTTTGTTATCTTGAAATGTGTAACTAAACTTGCCTAAACCATAAGGGTCAGATGAGTTTCAGTCTAGATCTTTAGTTTACTCAGGATGCCACTTGAAATACTCAGTGTAACTCTAGGAGAAATGGTGTTTGTGATGTCGTAAGTAAAAAGTCTGCCTTTGTTGCACTTATTTTTATTCTATATCGTTCTGAGTTGCCTTTTTCCAAGTCCTGAACGGTTTGTACCTACATTAAACACTTAGTACAAGGAATGTTTTCTTTTGTTAAACCAGTTGTCACTTTTACGTGACAGAAGTGGCTGAGCAGTAACAGGTGACAG